TTCCTGTTGCCATCCTCTGCCTGCCGAACCTCAGTCCTTGGGTAAATGCTGCCCTTTTGATCTTAAGTGGCTGATGATCCTAATGTGGGGGAGTGTTCAGCTCCAGACCTGAATAGTGATCATGCTCTGTATACAGTCTCGGGTCCCGCCTGCCTGATCAGTAGGCCTGATCCTTTAAGGACTTTGAGTTCTGTCCTATAGTTTTCTCCCATTCTACTCAGGACCTTTCTACGAGAGATCCCTTTCAGAGCAGTTGGTGGCGGCCAGGCACCATCTAGTTCTTCTGGTCTCCGTGTGTCCTAGAGACTGAGTTCCCTAGTTCTTTGCGTGAGCATCTTTCTGCATAATCTACGTCCAGCCACTTCCTTCCAGAGTGAAAACTGGGCCTGCCTGGCTTGCTCTGGGCCTAAGCATTGCCATGCTGCTGCTGGCATGGTCGGCCAGCACTGAGGACGGAGCACAGATAACTCAAGTGGCGCCTGGACTCATGTCCAGACCCAGAGTGGGGCTAGGGCCTCCGCTGGGGATCACTCACTGCCAAGAATCAATTCTGATGCACAGTGACCCGACAGGACAGAGAGGAACGGCTCCTCTATGTTTCTCAGGCTGTGCCCTGCTTATGGGGGTAGAAAGCCTCATCCTTTGCCAGAGGAGCGGCTGGTGGATTAGAACTATTGACCTCGTGGTTTTCAGCCCAACGGGTAACTCTTGTGCCACCAGGTCACCCAGGCTAGAGAACCCAGCCTTCCTCAAACCAAGCACGTCAGACCGGAAGCTCTACTGCACGCATTGTGCTCCTGACAGTCTTTTCAAAAGCTGTACGAGAACGTGTCCCTGCTTACTGCGCTTCCTCTCATCAGCATGCCAAACTCGGTGTCAGCGCGGCGAAGCCCGTGTTTGCCAGACGTGCTCAGAGGCATGCCTTCATGGGTGTAAAGTCTAAGCCTGTCACGATGAGTTGTATTTATTTGACAACTCACAAAATGGGACGGGCATTTAGAGGATTAAACTCGGAGGTATGCACAGAGCATTTCTAACATTGGTTCGTGACCCTGCATTTAAGCGTTTTCTCTCATTTTCCTCCTTGATTAATTAATGAAGCACCCATCTTCCCTCTCCCTGAGTGAATAGCTTTTGTCCTTCTTGGCACTCCGGGGTCTCCGTCGTGAATCTCCCCGAGTTTCCCAGTTCCTTCGCGACTCTGTCTGCCGGGACTCCAGGCTCAGTCGACAGACACTCGCGGAGGTCGCTGAAGCAGAGGGGCATTTATGAGAAGGGTGTTTGGGGCTCATCGAGAGACGCAGGGCCTTCATTCTGCTCTGACCTCTCCCCACAGTGAGCTCCTCCTCCTGGCATTGACGGAGGAGCCCCCGCTCACCCTTCCACCTTCTTGGAAGCACCACTTCCTCCTGCAGTGAGACCTTCTCCAGGGACCCGTCCCCACCAGCCACAGCCCACCCACCAAGGCTGACTTGCCACCAAGCCCCCGTCTGTGTGGAATCATAATTAATGCACAAACGTCTGCTTTGCTTCCTTGCCTGTTCTGTGTAGGGTGGTGTAGTTCCTGTGGGCAGGGGCTCTGCCTCGTTTTCCGTCTGGGATCCTGGGGCCAGGAATGGCGCTGGCACTCAGCGACTCCCACGGGAAGGCTTGCTGAGCGTGAACGGGCCCCTTCGCCTCCTTGACTTCATACTGGTGTCTATCTGTCTCGTGAGGGTTTTCTGGATTGAGTAGTGTTCTCCTCACAAAAGTGTCTTCAATCCTAACCCTCATTCCAATGGCCTGGGAAGGTGGTGATGTGAGTGATCCCACCTGGGAGTGG